GAGCCCTCCTCACGGCTTTGTCTATTTCACGCCACTTTGTCAAGTCTATTTGGTGAAGTCACTGTGAGTTTCCACTGAGCCGCTCTGTGAAGCTATTTCCACGGTTACTAACGAGTCGCCGGCCATTGCTGCAGCAGGACTAGCCTTGAATTTGTAGCGGCTCTGGGAGCCGTGCGTTTCTAACACGTCTGTTTTATCATTCAGCTTCTCCTCCCCCATAAGACAAATCTCAGAAACCACTTGACCAGGCTCAGGTTATCTGTGAGTTTTCATATTTTATGGTCACTGCTGAAGTTTTATGAGTATATATTAATTTTTTTTCAAAGAAAAAACTTTTCCAAATGGTCTCAGCTTTCCATCCGAGAGAAGTCAGCAGATGTCCAAATACCTGCTGTTCAACAGGTTACAGCTGACCCGAAACTCCAGATAACCCCCAACGACCCCAAAATAAAGCCACCTTTAAAAATAAAGGCCAGCATCTCCCAAATCTATATGCGGAATTTTCCGTATATTGATCCCCTGTAGGGCGCACCCTCCGCTTCTAATTGAAACCTTTTTCATAATTGTTGTCATTTGACACATTTAGTCTGTCAAACCGTGAGATGTCTTTATGGCCATACAATAAACCCAAGAGAACCACTTCCCTGACTGTAGCCATCTGCAATGATCACAAGGGTAGCTTACACAACCCTGACAGTCTTTACCATAATAGGATGCATATGGCAGCCTACAATTACGAGGAGCTGCATTCAATTAGTGTTGTACAATTACACAGTTTTATTGCTTAGTTAAAACAGTGCGAGCACTACATGCTGGGTAATTTGCACTAATCCCCGTCTTTTTAATAGCCCCTCAGTGTTTAAAATGTGGGGGAACAGCTATAGTATTTAAGGGTCCTGGGATGAATGTTAAATTATACCTCGTGTTGTGAACTCCTTGACTGACAATTAATGTGCTCCCGCCCAACGTGGGGGTCATGTTTTATAGAGGCTTTAACATACAGTCGTGGCAAAATGGTCCCCCTCTACCGGGGCCCAACTCAGGGGGTCAGGCTGTCAGGCCTGTACTTGGAGTCTGGTAGCACCCTTCCTGAGGACTGGTCATATGGTCACAGTGTGGAGAGCTGCCCCAACAGAACCTCAGAATTCATTCTGAGACTTGCCCCCCTTTTTTTTTTTTAATAAGCTTGCGTTTCATTTTGTGGAGCTTGACGGCAACTTTAAAATTTTGTTTTTGAGTGTGTGTGTTCACATGAGCACAGTGCCCATGGGGACCAGAGGAGGGTGTCAGATGCCCTGGAGCTAAAGTTACAGGTAAGTTGTGAACCACAAGATATGGGTGCTAGGTACCAAACTTGGGTCCTCTGGGAAAACAGAAAGTGCTTTGAATGGCTGAGCCATTTCTTCCACCCTGAGGCTTTAGCATCTTAAATAGGAATTTGTGAGCAACCCCTCATGTTTTTTGAACTCTTAAAACCTTGGTTCCACATGAATTCGGGGTCGCCATGGAAATACCATGTACAGATAGCTTTAAGAATGCATACACCACAAACAAATGAATTGAGAAAGTTGTGATTTTTTTAAATACAGCTTTAGTTACATCTACAAGGGGCCTCACTCGTCACAGGTCTGATGCGCCTCATTGGCGCATCCCTGTAAATCCCCTTACTCAGGAGGCAGAGGCAGGCAGACCTCTGCGAGTTCAAGGCCAGCCTGGTCTACAGAGTTAGTTCCAGGACAGCCAGGCCTCTGCAAAGAAACTGTGTCTCAAAAAAAAAAAATCAAAACAAAGCAACCAAAATAGAATTAATGCCCTCTGGTTGCAGCCAGCACGCGTTATGAGCCCCATTTGTGAGAGCTCAGTGCGCCATGTCAGAAAGGGGCACTCCCATTGGACGAGAACAAACGCTGAGCCCACTCTTCTCCATCCTTCTCCCACAGTGTTGACAGAGGACAACCCCCAAAGTAACCTTGCTTCCTGCCCTGCCTGACAACAAGTTAAACAGAATTCCCAGCTAGAGGCCTGGGCAGATATTCATCCACCTGCAAAAGCGTTTTGTGAAAGCTTTGGCAGAGGCCTGCTGTCTTGAAATGTTCTCAGTTACATGGAGTTCGCCTTTGTCTCCAAGCTCTTTGTCTGTCCTGCCAGGAGACAACTTGAGTCTCTTTACACGCGTGAAAACTGCACAGTTTTCAGATATTAAAAAAGCAGGGGGGGGGGGGGGTAATTGCACGTGCATATGATTAAAGGAATAAAAAACGAATACAAAAGTATAGCTTCAATATATGTAAATGTTTCGCAGTGTGTGGGCCCGCTAATATTTTAAAGGATGCCTCCATTGTTTTACGCAGCATGCTTGTGTTTTCTTTTCCTTTTGCTGGTTGGGGTTTTGGGGTTTTTTGTTTGTTTGTTTGTTTGTCTATTGCAGTGCTGGAGGGTGAACCCCAGTTCTTAACATTTTCCTTCATCTCAACTACATTGTTCATCTGTATTAAATATAATTTGTATGCACTTAGAATTCCTATTAAAACGGCAATCATTAGTGGCCCTCCTGTGCGGAAATTACAGTCATATCCAGAACCACAACAAGCCTCTGATGACTGCGTCCTCTAACATCTGGTTTTCCCAAACTTGTGACTGCAGCTCGGTGATACAGATACTGTGTGTAGGGGTGGGATACTTCCTGTACAAATGGGGTTGAATATATCATAATCTGCTCAGCTTGGCACAGCACACATCGCGAGTGCTCAGACCCCACACAACATCAAAGCAAGAGGGCATTCTGCAATTTAGAAAAGTTATTGATACCAAAATGGAATTCAGGAGGTAAACAGCTCTGGTCTGTACGGGAAATGAACTAGACAGCCAATCTCAGAGGCCCCATCTCAGGTTTCCTTTCATGGAAAACATTTGCTTATTGTTTGGATGACCAGAACGGCCAGCGCGATAGCATTTAGGCTGGAGAAACTATAGTGTTTCATAGATCTGGTGCCTGCAAGTGCTAACTTAAACCCACGCAGCTGCTTCGTTAAGTAGAGAAGATAGCACCCACTCCAGAGGACAACTGGACGCGTGTCTGTCTTTTCCCAAGCAGCCAAACTGCAGGTGATTGCTTAAGTCTTTGGATGCCTATCCAAGGGCAGACCAAACTTGATCGGGATCCAGAACCCCAGAGACAAAGAGTCCCCATTGTGAGTGTGGATAACATGTAGATGCATCATTTCTATACAGAAAAGATAGTTGCCCCTGAGAAGTAGATCTACCTCACCGAAACAGTCAGCTCCAATTGGTCATCGCTGACCCTGCAGCTGAGCTGGCCAAACATCTGCCCCAGTGCCTCGGTGGCATGCCAAGGCAGATGGAGGTAGCCTGTAGTAGTGCTCCTGGTATGTGGAGATGTGCCTTGCTGTGCAAGAGGCCCACTCGGCTTCAGCAAGTGACCGCTTTGGCAAGGAATAACAGAGGAACGAGCAAGCCTCAACTTGCTGGGTAAATCATTTTGATAAATGTCGAAAGCTAGGCCATTCCTTTGGAGGGTCTCTTGAAGACTGTTCTTGAGATCTGGAAACAGCATTGACCTGTGGCTTTCTCCATCCTACTGCTCCCAGGAGAGGGCACCGAGTGAGAAGTCTGCGTGCCCCTTTACCCTTTTCGTAATCAATGAAGTTGTTTGGGCTGCTTTTTAAAAAACATATCCTACTGGTGCCGTCTTGGGCTACCATTAAGGAGTTTACATATTTGCCTAGGAGGCACGAGCCTGCTTGTTTTGATTTGTTCAGAGGAAGACTGCAGACTTACTGCGGTAATAAGGAACGCTAGGCCGAGTGCTGGCTCTACACCCACTAAATATTTCCAGATTGCCACAGGTGAAATGAGATGTTAACATGCTCTTCAATTATTAATAAAAATTAGAAGTGGATCCTGCTGGAAATGTGGGGCACTGAAAACAAAATATTTTAATATCTGCGTCGATGTTTTCATCTATTACTGAAGGGTGGTATGTGGGAAGGAAGTGACTACTTTCATGAATGGTGTGTTCAGAGTGAGAGACTCTCTGGTTTTCCTTTTGTGGAAAACATCAAATGCAGATAGGCAAAGAGAAAAATCTTCGTAATTGCTTCCTAGAATAGGAATGCCAGTTCCTACTGTTGTTTCAGATTTTGGTCTCATGTGTTTTTAACATGTATACAAAACAACCTGAAGATCCTATCCTCACTTCCCAAGTATATACTCAGTTCAGTGAATATGAACCTATATTACCATTTAATTTGTGTTCACTTTTATTTATTATTTGCTGTGTGTATTGTGTGAGTGTCTATGTGTATGTGTGTGTGAGAGAGTGTGTGTGTATTGTGAGTATGTGTTTGCATATGTATGAATATATATGTTTGTGTATATATTATTTGAGTGTGTGTGTGTATGTGAGTGGATATATGTGTGAGACAATTGTATGAGTGTGTGAGTGTGTGTGTGAGTGAGTGTGTGAGTGTGAGTGTGAATGTGTGTGTGAGTGTGTGTGTGAGTGTGTGTGTGAGTGTGTGTGTGTCAGTGTGTGTGTGTGAGTGTGTGAGTGTATGTGAGTGTGTGTGTGTGTGTGTGAGTGTGTGTGTGAGTGTGTGTGTGTGTGTGTGAGTGAGTGTGTGTGTGTGAGTGTGTGTGTCTATCTGTCTGTCCACCGTGTGTATGGGTCCTGGGATGAACTTGTATCATCAGGCTTGGTGGCATCATCTTTGCCCACTGAGCCATTTCCCCAGCCCCCACATCACCATTGCCATGAGCTCCTCCATCTTGTTTTCTAAATGCCCCCATTATTTGCTAAACAAATTTCCATTTGCCATTCCTTCCTTGCCTCAAATGTTGCCATGAAATTAAGAAAGATGTTCTGGAATGGCTATCCGTGCGTGATTGCCCGGGCCTTTGTTGTCTGTTCCATTCGCATTAACCTTAAGACTCAGTGCTCTTGGCTCTAAGGCCTTTAACTCTTTTTACCTTTATTTTAGGTGTATGAGCACCAGGATGGCAGTAAGTCGCTCAAGTTGGGTGACTTTGGTCTGGCCACCATTGTTGATGGCCCCTTGTACACAGTCTGCGGCACCCCAACATATGTGGCTCCTGAAATCATTGCAGAGACTGGGTGAGTGCTCCCCTTGGCTTTAGAACTTGCGAAGGAGTAAGAATCATAAAAGAGCTGTGGGCATGGGCAGAATTAGCCAACTCTCTCTCCCCTCTCTTTTCTCTCCCCTCCCCCACCTGTTCAGCAAGCCATTTTTCTTTGTCTTCCCAAGCAAGTTGCCAGTGACTGTCATCCTGTTTAAAGATTGCATTTGGTCTCTGCCAAAGGTAAAGCAATTATTAACCATAAAAAATTTAATAATTGTCCAGATAAGTGGAGAAACACATATCAATAGTAATTAAATCACTTTAAATATAAAAGACTGAGATACTGTTATAAATTCCCCTCTGGTCGTTTTTCTCACCTGGCTTTATACCTTGGCCTCGTTTTAGCCGTCTTAGCTATTGCTTCTCTAAGGAAAACGAATGTCTTGGACCTCCCACGGCCATGAGCTATTGGCTGGTGTGTGTGCTGCCCTAGATTGAGAGGGAAGCAACCCATTCCGAAAGGGCCTACTTTGTGCCAAGTCTTAAACTCTCCTCAGTTCTCACTCTGGTGGTGCACAATGCTTCTGCCTTTTCCCAGGTGAATATGTGGAGATTCGTCATCCAGCGGGCTAAGTGGCCTGTAGTCACATGACTCCCTAGAGACTGAATTGGGATTTGAACTCAGGGTGACTTAAAATGCAGGCTTTATCAGCTTTTTGTTTTGTTTTGTCTTGCTTTTAATTCTGTTACCAAGAGCCACAGCCAGAGATCTGAAATGCTACCCTTCAACCAAAGGACTGGGAAGGGCGGTGCGTGAGAAGCGGAACACAGCCCCTGTTTTCTTGCTTTTTTTTGTGTTTGTGTTCTGCTGCAAAGGATTGAATCCAGGGTGTTCGGCACACTGTAGAAGCAGTCTGCCTCTGAGCTACCTCCCAGCCCCGAGTATTCTCTTCACTCATGACATGAACTTATACCCAAAAGACAAAAAGACAGAACACACAAACACGTAAGCCTCCTGAGGGAATCTGCAGGACTCCTTGTTCTTTTATCTACTTACATGTATGTGGAGGTCAGAATTCAACTTTTAGGAGGTTTCAGAAGACAGCTTTCTCTTTCTACTACACAGGTCCAGAAATTCAAACTCCAGTCACCAAGCTGGATAGAAAACTATTTTACTCACTGAGCCGTCTCCTCAGCCCTGGGGACTATTTGGTTAGCCAAATTTGAATGATTTGGAAACTTACACAAGTACGTTGGCTGCCAGTCCTCAGTAACACTGCCTCTACCTAGCAACTTTCTGGCCAGGACATATCTCAATGCCTACTGTGTGCGTTGAGTAGAAAGAGGATGTGGTGGGGCGCTTAGTTGGAGTCCAGCTCTGCTGCTGAGACACAGTGTGATCTTGAACAAAATTACTCACCCACTGGACCCGTTCTATCTTCTATAAAATACTTGATATTTATTTTGTCCAGTCTACAGTGTTTGAGGGGGAAGAAATAAGATGATGTATATCATACTTTAGAAACTAAAAAATAATCTTTAATTGCTGCTTCTAAATCAAGGGTATTTGGACCCAACCCTATCTAAAAATTAAAATGTCCACAGCAAACGTATCTGCCCAGGCTTGTAGTATTTAGTGTGTGTGTGTGTGTGTGTGTGTGTGTGTGTGTTCCCGATCCTCAGTCTTTTCCAATTTATCTTTTTTTTAAAAAAAAAGTTTTTTTTTTATGTTTATGAACAGCTTGTATGTCTTTCCACCACATGCATGAAGTGCCTATGGAGGCCAGAAGAGGGCATCGGATTCCCTGGAACTAGAGTTGCATATGCAAGCTGCCATGTGGTTGCTGGGAACAGAACCTAGGTCTTCTGCAAAGCAGCCACTGCTCTTAACTGCTGAGCCATCTCTCCAGTACTGTTCTTTTTACTTTTACTTTTTTTTTTTTTGAGACAGGGTTTCTCAGTAGCTTTTGGAGCCTGTCCTGGAACTACTTCTTGTAGACCAGGCTAGCCTCAAACTCACAGAGATCCCCCTGCCTCTGCCTCCCAAGTGCTGGTATTAAAGGCACATGACACCACTGCTTAGCTACTTTTTGCTTTTTTGTAGATATACTTTTTATGTGATGCAATTTTTTTTATTTAATTTTTTAAAGTCAAAATATAATTATATCATATTCCCCTTCCCTTTCTTCCCCCCAGACCCTCTAGAATTCATGACCTTTTTTTTTATTATCCAATATACATGTGCTTTAATGTGTAAGTATGGTCAGTTTATTGTTCCTTATATGTGTATGATTTCAGGGATGACCACTTGGCATTGAATAACCAACTACAATATTCATCCCTGGGGAAGACAATTCTTGTCTCTCAGATGTCAGCATTCCTTGGTTGCTTATAGCTCTTTGTCTAGGGTTGGAGTCCCAGAAGATTTGCCTCCTCACCATTAGCATGTCCACCGGTGCTGTCCTTAGTCAGATCTTGTTTAGGCAGCTGTATTGTTGAGGATGAGTATCCCAATCAATCAAACTGGAGACACAATTGCACATCGGATTTCTTGGGCCTCTGGCTCTTGCAGCCTTCGCACCCCTTCTTCCACGATGTTCACTGAACCCTGAGTGCGTGATTTATGTGAGCATCCGTTAGCTCTGGTCACCCCACAATCAGTTGTCCTGTTCATTTTGACTGGGTGTGGCGTCCACAATGGACTCTTTGTTGCAAGGAGATGCTTCTTTGAGGAGAGTAGGATATAAGGTTAAATTATAGAAACGCAGTTAGGAACTGTACTGCTTTGGTACAGTGGAAGAAAGGGGTTCTCACCAAGCGGTGGTGACTCACGCCTTTAATCCCAGCGTTCGAGGCAGAGGCAGGTGGATCTCTGTGAGTTCGAGGCCAACCTGGTCTACAAGAGCTAGTTCCAGGATAGGCTCCAAAGCTACAGAAAACCTTGTCTCGAAAAAGAAAAGAAAAGGAAAGGAAAGGAAAGGAAAGAAAAGAAAAGAAAAGAAAAGAAAAGAAAAGAAAAGAAAAGAAAGGGCTTCTTCTTCAGGATCAGTGGCCTCACTAGCCCTGGATAGCTGGCATGGTTTTGCTCCTGTTGACCAAGTCTTCAGTCTAATTAAACAGCTGTTGGTTACCTCTAGGACAGCAATGCCACCGTTGCACCTTTAGGGCTCTCTTGGCAAGCCGGGCCTTTCTGTGGTCCACAGGCACCACAGCCAGGTAGGACTGCTGATGGCTTCCCTCCCGTGGCAGTTTGCACAGTGCCTGCCCATACTGCGAAAGAACTTTCTTCTGCAGTTTGCATTCAGTTGGCAGATATTTTAAATTTTGTTTGGTCTCCTTGGGTTGGCAGTCATGATTTGGGGCTGTATAATTTGTCCTGGCTGACTTTGCTAACTCCAGCATCATTCCTTTTGTCAGATATGGCCTCAAGGTGGACATCTGGGCAGCCGGTGTGATCACTTACATCCTGCTGTGCGGTTTCCCTCCGTTCCGTGGGTATGGGCAGCAATGCTTTATTCAGCTCTAACAAGTCATTTCTCTGCTCTCTGAATGATCCATTTGCCCTTCTTGCACAAAGGAGCCTGTAGCAGCGGGGAGCATAATAAGAATCCCACTTGCGATTCTCATTGTTTTTTTCCATATTGCATGCTAATTTACACGCATACCATAAATCTTCCTCATGCCATCTTTAACCTCATTCTTTGTTAATTTACCAAAACAATTGCACACTGACATTTTCAGTGGTTCAGACAAAAAGCATACTTTGCACATTGAAGGGGTATGTGATGAGCTCACATCCAGCTCAGCTTTCTCTTGTTTGTCTACACAGGAGTGGTGATGACCAAGAGGTGCTTTTTGACCAGATCTTGATGGGCCAAGTGGACTTCCCACCTCCGTACTGGGACAACGTGTCAGATTCTGCTAAGGTAGGGGGTTCATCGCTGCCCTGTTCCCTGGAGCCTGGTGCCTTGGTGGAAGCATTGACTCTAATTAAACCAGCATGTACTAACAGACCAGTGATAAAATGTGACTCCAGGACATCACAGACATCAGGGCCACCATCTTGCTGTCACTCCAGTCTCATTTCTGCACAGGGTTGTTGTTTTCTCTGCATGGGTCCTCTCAGGGAAGCCACCTCTGGCCCCTGGTGCCAGTTGTAGCTCTTGACATTTCCTGGCTCACCTTGTCCTCCTCGCCTTGTCCTCCTTCTCTGTTTTATGTACAACATGTGTTCTTAGTCTCAAAAATAGAATGTCCATCCTCTCTGTCATATAATTGTCCGTCTATAGCCACCTACTTAAACATACATAACCCACATAAACATATGTAGGTAGGAGATCAAATCCTACTTAGGCAATTAATTTCCAGACTCTCTCACTAGAATGTAGATTCTGTGAAGGCTAGGATTTTTGTCCATTGATGAAAATGTTTTGTATGCATTTGTGTGTTTGCCTGGGACTAGAGTAGCAGGGGGTTTCTAACCACTTGATATGAGTGCTGGGACCTGAACCCAGGTCCTCTGCAAGAGCAGTAAATGCTCTTGAGCACCGAGCTATCCCTCTAGCCCCTGATTTTTCCCTGTTTAGTTCACTGCCACATCAGCAATTCTGACATCACAACCAGTACAAAACCAGTGGTTCTGTGTAGTCAATAAACCAGAGAGGTTCATAAATAAATGAATCAAGCAACTGATTAATCAGAGGGAAGAGAGCCCAGCCTCAGCCTCTGTTTGAAATGACCAAAAAGCATGTCATGGAGATGTCATTATTCAAGTTCAACCTCATAGGGTGCCTGGGGTTCAGAGGCAGGAGAGACGGACCTTGTGCTTCTTCACCCTGCTAACCCAAGATCAGCTCCTCTGATGGAGGGTGAGGGGTGTACTTTTTCACAGCAAAGTGAAAGTACAGAAATGACATCACACTGGATGTGAAAGTGAGCAGAGTGGGAACTTTATGCATATTTAACAAATTTTAAAACAAGACATTTGCATCTAAGAGAATGAATAATTTTAGCTCCTATATTGGGAGACCTCACGGGGGACATTTGATCTCTTTCAAATGTTTATAGATTGAACAGTCCTGGTCTGAAAACCCCCCAGTCCAAAAGGCAATAACCTTTGAAACTTGGGTGTCAACACATGTCATCCCATAGGGGAAAGTTCTGCGCCTGTGACAGGTTGGAGTCAAATACAAGCATGCTGAAAATATTAGGAAAGGGATTTCTCAGGCTATTCATATAAAGTGCATAGGAAACAATTAAATTTTGTGTTTTGATTTGTTTTTCCATCCTCAAGATACCATTATGTGTCTGCAAATATTGCAAAATTTAAACAAAAATTCAAAATCTGAAAGCCGTTTTGAGTAAAGATATTCAAGCTATTTTGTGTTCAGAAGTGCTGACTCATATTCTCCAAAATCCAGTGTAGAGAACTTGGTCATTTTCTGGTCATTCAGTGTATATGGCTTTTTCTCTCTCCTGAAGCAGAGTTCAATTTAAAAACTCTTCTGCTTAGACAGGAGCTTATGTACATAAAATGATATTTGCTAGACATGGGCCTCTCATCTTCTTCCACCATATACACCTTTGAACTTAGGGAAATATCAGGAGTTGAGAGAAGGGTAAAATAAAGACCCTGAGGTGAGAGACTTGAGGGACAGGCAAAGACAACCTCATCTATAAATATAGTCTCACTGTGTAGCCCAGCCTAGACTTGAATACTCCTGCCTCCAACTGCCGCATGCAGGGATTCAGATCACAGGAATCCCATAGAGCCCATAAAGAACTGGATAACATGTGTCTACCCATTCATAAGCCAAAGTGGGCAGATGCGTGGCAAAGTCATTGTGCCCCCTAATGCTGCATCTCCAGAAAACTGTTTGTTTGTTTTTAATTTATCAACTAGTTTTTGAAAAATCATCCTTCATTCATTTTCTATAGCCTTAAACATGCTGCCTGGAAATCAGGATAAGGACCCATTTCTTTGTCTGTCAAAACAGAAACTTCAAGTATTTTTTAAAAGATTTTATTTTTATTTCATACATATGTGTGTTTTGCCCTGCATGTGTGCATGTGTCTCATAAGTACAGTGCCTATAGAGCCCAGAAGAGGGTGTCACATCCCTTGGAACTGGAGTTACAGGTTGTGAGCCACCATGTGGGTGCTGGGAATTGAACCCCATCCTCTGGAAGAGTAATCAGTGCTCTTAACCCCTGAGCCATTTCCTAACCCCAAAACTGTTCTTTATTTTTTATGTGACATCTGTACAACTATGAAATCTGATTTAAAAGTATTACATCCTAGTAAAAAGTTATTGTCTAACATGAGTAGTTTCTTTGCTTCTAAAGCTATTTCATTTTATAGCATTTACATAAATATTGATTTCATTTTATTTTTCTATCAACTAAGCTGCATAAAAGTTCACAGTCTAACGTTTGAAAGTGTGATCCAGCTAAGTCATGGGTAAGTGGGGTGACATGATTTAGATTGTGAGGTTTTCCAAACTGAGATTGCAATCCTGAATTTGCAAACCCCCAGCTCCTCCCTCCAGGGTTAGATAAATGGAGTCTAATATTCTCCTTCACAGGAACTCATCAACATGATGCTGTTGGTTAACGTGGACCAGAGATTTTCAGCCTTGCAGGTCCTTGAGCATCCCTGGGTTAACGTAAGTGACCTTCTTTCTCTATAGCCACTGCCGCCCGCCGGCGCCCCTTTAAAACTGCATCTGCAGATTTCCTAATGGCACCGCCTCTTCCTTGAAGTGCATTTGGCTTGGTTCCCCACTCTGAGGTCACCCGTGTATTCCATGGAGGCCTCTGATGTGTCCATCTTACTGGCTTTCTGAAGAACTGCCTTCCATCAGGGAGGTCGATGTGGGTGTGGTCCTGACCCTCCTATCTCTCAGCAGCTCTCTGTGGTGAGATCCAGGCTGGATAACCGCCACTAAGATGGTGCAAATGCTCTCAGTCAGTTTCCATGTCAGAGTACAAGGAACCAAGGTTTTCTGCTTGCGTCTGAGAGCTCAGCTCAGCACCTCTCAAGCCTGAGTGTGCCCAGAGCACCTGGTGGCCTCCTCAAAACGAGCTTCTAAGGTGACAGCTTAGAGGCTGTGTTCCCAAGCTCTTGAATGATGGCATGTCGCAGCCCTTTGAGGTCTACTGGTCGCTTTTCAGCAATAAAACCGTCCTCTAGAAAAGCCACTAATTTTTCACCCTGTATCTCTCTACAAATGATTAGTGAAACAATTCTGATAGGGAATGATGCTTTATATTCATAAAGGGCATAAGTTCCGGAGTCTGCGGCACTGTTTTAAACACTCTGTGCATATTAATTGATCACGTCTGTCCCCACCACTTGGTAACTTCCTAACCCAGTCACCATGCAGTCCCCGCTGACAGATGGGGAGGCTCCATGATTTGGTTGAATGATTCTTGGTGCTAGCGTAGAAGATAGATACAGGTGTGTGTGCAGAAACAGACACGACACTCCCAGAACCATTAGTTCCCTGACAGACTCTGCCAGCCTCCCCACTGCTCCGCTAGACTTAGCTCTAGGTTGAAGACCAAGAAAAACATTCCTGTTCCCCTTCTCCGAAGTGTCACCTTGGCGAATGGTCACGTGGCTCCTTTCTAAAATCGCTACGGAGAACAAGGCGTGAATGGGAAGTACTCTCACCTGGTGAGGTGGCCTGCAGGGTGTCACATGCTCGGGACCTTACTGATGCAGGATCTACTGATGGTTGTGGGCCGGCAGTCTAGAACTTCCCATGCTTGCACACCATAGTGAAAGTTATCTTTATATACTAGGAGAATATTCACGAATATGAGCATGTAGGGGTGTGAGCCAAGGTTTCTTTCAGGCCTTTTTCCCCAGCAGAGGCTCTCAAATGTGCATATGTGTGAGGGTACTCACCTCCTCATCCCTGGGACAGTGAGGCAAGGCAACTCACACTCACGCAACTCACACTGAGCTCCATGTCAGGATGCTAAGTCAAAATTATATATTACTATAGAGTAGGAAGGTTGTGACAGCGTCCTGTTTGTGTCTGGTAACAAGCCTATAGGATAGGCAGTGTGAAAGTCAGTTATTGTACCCACTTCACGGACAAGAAGACTGAAGCCATACGATACAGTGTTCCCCCAAGTAGCCACACTTGAAATTGAGACAGAATTTCTAGTCAGGCATCCCACACTACAAGATCAAAGTCCGGAGATTCCAGCCTACCACACTCTATCTCTGCCTTTGTTTTAAGTGGAAACCCTGGAAATCCAGAAGAACGTCTTATGGACACTGACCTCATGGTGATGTTACCTCAATTCAGTGCCCTTTCAGACTAGCTGTTCTAACTCAGGGGTCACGCCTTCTCTCAGGTGTGTGAGATGGAAGATCTAAAAGCCAGCCGTAGGCAGTAATTGACCTAGAATGATCTTTGCGGGTTCATTTAACATCCACGACCCACAACTTATCGGATTGCAAAAGCTAAGACAGGTGACCACACAGACTTAACGGTAAAATTTGAAGCATCACCTCCTAGAGGAAAGTGCTTTATAGATGACAAGAGCCATCTTAGATACCCCAACATGTTGTCGCTGTCTCTTAGATCTGCCCTCCAGGAGCTCTGTCTAACTCAACCAACAGCTACAGGCTGTGAGCAGGGCTGGGCTAGAAGCTTCTAGAGAGAATGCTGTAGAGGGCTTGATGGGGTAACTTCAAGAGCTCGGTCCTTTAGGGGTCTTGGAAGGATAGTCAGAGGTCAGCTCCAGAAGGCCATGGTATGTACCACAAGATACCCTAATGAATGTATCTGTATCTATGAGGGGTTCCAGACACAGCTAGAACCCTACCTACTAAAATATCCACAACCCAGCCAGGGTACCTTCTGGCTTCCCCCTCTGGAGGGAACAGCCCACACACCTCAGCACAAGCGTCTGCCCCCCTCAGTTGCCTTACCACAGCTTCTCCCACAAACCCTGTGTCCGACCACTCCATTCCACAGTACTGAACCTCTGCACAGTTGAATTCCTGCTTCACTTCAATTTTTCTCTGATTCTTAAAAAGCAACAAAAACAACAACAATAAACAAACTTTTTAAAAAGCAAATGTAGCATCTAGGTTTAAAATAAGACAAAGTAAGCTTGACATTCTGATGGGGGAAAAGCACATATGATTTTAGAGAAACCTTTTTAAAATTTGGTGTGGAAAGTGCTGGCTTCACACTGATACTATCTTTATATGGCAGCTAAGTCAGAAACCGCTTGTGTTCTTTGCCTCCAAATAACAAATTTGCCCAGGAAGCTTTGGCGACCGGTCCTTAGCCTAGTAAAGGTCAGCACACAAAAGACCAAGCCATCAAAATAAATGAATTAGGGGCTTACAGGGATATAAATTTAACAAGACATTTTGCATTTGGCAATCAGATTATATCTGGCCACCACGGAAAGCCTCTCCCTAAGGGGACTAAAAGTAATGATAGTCGCGTAAGCCCCTTGGGTGTCTGCGCGAGCCATTTCCTGCACGCTCATTTGTTCTGATTTTCTGTGTTGCTTATACGACGACCCTCTACGTGGTCCACCTGGAATTGAAAGGATGATTTCTTATGAAACAGAAAGTAGAGCAGAAAGGCAGTAGGAAAAAAATGGGGTCAGCAAAGGTGACTTATTTTAACCTTCATCCCGGAGCATCCTTAAAGCAAGTCCAAGTTTCTTTTTAATAGGCTCTGGGTACCAACTCTACCTTGCTCCTCATTTTCTTTGACTTGGAAAGTGTCATGGGTGATGGATGGCTTATCAGGTGGGTCCAGCGAGCCACATGGAAACCTCTTGTGGAGGGGAACCGAGGCCCATCCGCCTATGTAACTTCAGGCAAGTGTGTTTCTCTCCCAAGCCTCTTTCCTGCCAGAGGAAGTAGGTCAGGGGGAAATAAAATCAATTTGTCTACCTCTTGCGATGCTTAAAGGTGGAAAAACTGGCTAGCTGAAGCTCAAACTCTTGGATATTTAGTAAATGTTTGTTGACTTTGATACAGGTAAAGCCAGGAACTGTGTCATCTGTTGTCACACAATGACACAATGGAGATCATAGAATGTGTTAGTATGTGGGTAGCTGGATTAAGGAATAAACCCATCAACCCCCAGATGATTCTGTTTGGAAGCCACGAGTTCCTCCCCGATGAGGTGCACAGCAGCCCTATCAAAGCTGGCTTTAATACAGCTGCAAAGTGCCAACAGGAACTGTCACAGCCAGCTCATTCACCTTATCTCCCCCTTTTGTAGAGTCACATGACATAGGCAGGCACGCCATGTGCCTAACAGGACTAGGAGAGAGCGTATCTTGCTCATCCTAGGAATAAGGGGCTGACATGAGACACTTGCCCTGAAATGGGGATTTTATGGAAAGTGGTGCATCTTGGGAAAAAGTTCAGACAACCAGACATTTCCAAAACCAAACCTCTTATTTGTAATTAGGATCTAATAAGCATTATGTTTAATTTTATGTACCGCTTTGCATTGTTGTTGTTGTTGTTGTTAGCCTGTGTTATTTTCCAAACACTCTCCTGTAGCAGAATTAATAAAAACCCAGAGACAGAAATTGGAGTTCAACCTGAAGGTCAGAAAAGCAAAACATTCGGCCACTGGCTCTTCCCTCTACGTCAGTCCGTAATGGTCATCTTGGCTCCAGGAATCCTCAGAGTGAGACTGTGTCTGAGAGCTGTCCCCTCCTACCTTATATTCCTCTCTAGGGCTGGGATTAAAGGTGTGCACAGCTACCACCCAATTTCTATGGCAAACTAGTGTGGCTACTGGAATTAAAGGTGTGTGTCACCACTGTCTGGTTTGTAGGGCTGACCAGTGGGGCTGTTTTTCTCTCAGATCTTTAGGCAAGCTTTATTTATTAAAATACAAATGAAATATCACTATGCTCTCCGATACTGTAATTTTATTAATTTACATTTTTCTCCATTATTTTACTGAGCTCAGTGGTGAATAAGACGCAAAGACACCGAAGCGTGAAGCTCCGCAGAGTCTCACGCAGGTCTGAAGCTTGGCTTTGCCCTTCCAGGTTCTGGTTTCATTGCTCTGTCACTGTGTCTGAGCACGGAGGCTTCTTAGAGCCCCCACGTGATTGTGGTGCCAGGGCAGCTTTCAGACTCTGTTCTAACAGAAAGATGGGTTTAAGGAAGTCAAGCTAGGTCTAGAGCCAAGCTGAGACTTCTTGTTTCTTTCTAGCCTTTAAATTTAATCTTGCTTTTTTTATCTTACCTAATTATTCCTTTGGAAAGATAGTGCTGAGCCATGATGCTCAAAAAAAAAAAAAAAAAAAAAGCAAGGAAGGAAGAAAGGAAAGAAGGAAGGAAAGGAAGGATGGAAAGGAAGGACGGAAGGACGGAAGGAAGTGAGGCAGGAAGGAAGGAAGGAAGGAAGGAAGGGAAGAAGGAAGCCTAGATGGTATCTTAAGCGAGCCCATGCGCCCATGCACACAAGAGTACAGATACACGCCCCTTAATTGTGCTGGTGGGATGGGTGATAAGTGACTGAACTCCAGTGACATTGTAATTAAATGTAAAACTACTTATCTATATTCATATATTACAAATGATGACGTGAAAAGTCGCTTCCATTTGGGCATTTTCTTTCCTTATACGAAGCGCAGTGTGAAGTGCAGACTC